CACTCTTTCAGTATCCATGGTGAGACCCTGTCTGGACCATCAGCCTTTCTAACATCCAGATCCAGCAGGTGTCTCTTGACCTCCTCCCTCATAATTTCGAACTCTTCTAAGGCCGCCTGGTTTACCTCTCTTTCTCCTAGCACATTGACCTCACCTTGTTCTATTGTGAAGACCTCCTAGAACCTCATGTTGAGTTCTTCACACACCTCTCTGTCATTCTCTGTATACCTGTCCTCGCCTGTTCTAAGTTTTAAATACCTGTTCTTTCACTGTTGTTTTCCTTCTGATGTGACTGTGGAGTAGCTTTGGTTCGGTCTTGGCTTTGTTTGCTATATCATTTTCAAACTTTTCTCTGCTTCCCTCCTCACTCTGATGTACTCATTTCTGGCCCTCTGGTACCTCTCCCTGCTCTCTGGTGTTCTGTTATTTCTGTAGTTTCTCCATGTTCTTTTACTCAGTTGTTTCGCTACCTTACATTCCTGGTTGAACCATGGGTTTTTTCTGTTGTTTTTCGTTTTTCTCCTTTTGGACGGGGATAAACCTGTCTGCAGCTTCCTGGCACTTTTGGGTGACAATATCCATCATGACCTGCACATTCTTGTCTCTAAGTTCTGTTTCCCATGGTATTCCCATTAGGAAGTTCCTCATCTCGTCATATTTTCCTCTTCGGTAATTCAGTCTTTTCCCCTCCACTCCCATCCTTGGATAGGTTATCCTACCTCCACCAAGTACTCAAAGGTCAGTACACTGTGGTCACTCATTCCTATGGGGGCTTCAACTTTGACTTCCCTTATTTCTGACTCATTTAGGGTGAATATTAAGTCGAGTCTAGCTGGTTCATCATTGCCTCTCATTCTTGTGGGTTCCTTGACATGCTGGCTCAGAAATTCCTTGTTGCCACTTCCAAGAGTTTAGCTCGCCACGTATCTGCACCACCATGTGGGTCCCCATTCTCCAGTCTATCTTTCCATGGTTGAAATCACCCATGATTAAGAGTCTTGAGCCATTCCTGCAGGCAACTGAAGCTGCTCTATTATATTAATAGTTGCCATGTTGTTCCTATCAACTCCTGTCTAGGTCTTCTGTCATTTAGGGGAGGGTTGTAAATGACTGTCACTATTATCTTAGGTCCACCCATTGTTATAGTTCCTGTTATGTAATCTCTGAATCCGTCACAGCCCGGAATTTCCATCACATCAAAACTCCAGTCCTTCCTTATCAGCAGGCCACTCCTCCACCTCCTCTCCCTTCCCTCTCTTTCCTTACTATATAGTAGTCCTTTGGAAACACAGCATCTGTTATGACTCCTGACAATTTGTTTCTGTTAGTCCTATTACATCAGGGTTTTTCTTCTTGCACCCTTTCTGCCAGTTCACTTGCTTTATTGGTAATCCCATCAATGTTTGAGTACATTACCTTGAAGCTCACTTTCTTATATCCAGTTTCACCACACTCCTACAAGTGTAGGAGGTTGTTCTATGGTCCTTGCTACTTGGGTAGGCTCCCTCCTCCTGTGAGGTAGTTGCCAGGGTTCAGGGGGAGGTGGGGTGGGGGGTGGAGGGCTTAGGTCTTCCTCAGGCCTGCTTGGGTCAGGAAGAAGTCCTGGGGGTGAGGGAGCAGGGATTGCTTGGGGAGAGGGCACGCCCTCCTGCGGTGTAGTTGACAGGGGTTTGGAGGGAGGTGGAGTGGGGGATAGAGGGCTTTGGTCTTGCTCAGGCCTGCTTGGGGCAGGGAGAAGACCAGGGGTGGGAAAGCAGGGGCTACTGGGGGTACGGGGCGGGGGAGGATTTGGGTTTCATGAGGGGCATTATGCAGGGGCACGGAAGGGTTTGTGCTGGGGGGTAGAGAGGGCCCTATTGGGTGGTGGACTGGGGTGTTGCATTCCCCCCTGGGGTTCCTGGGTTGCTGGATTGGGGTTCCCCACTCCCCTCTGGGATTGCTGGGTTGGAGGCTGAGGTTCCCTGGCTCTCTTCCCTCTCCTTGCGCCTTTCCTTGCATCTGCTGCCCTTACTATCTCGTCTCTGGTCATGTCCCTCTGAACATATACCTCTTTGTAGTTCCTTGCATGCCTCAGTTGTTCTTCCTTACTAGAATGTCCTCTTTGATGTCCTCGCTCTTGAATACTACCTTGATCATCTTTTTTTGTCTCTGTTGTACTGGCCAATCCGGAAAAACTGTTCTATGTCTCGTTCAGCCCCTTCCATTCCTATCTCCTTTAATATCCCTGCCACTGCAGCTTTGTCTTTAGTCCTCGTTTCCTCCCTTGTGGAGCCCTCTTGTTCCTCGACACCTACCACTACTACAGCTCTTTTCCTTTCCATTAGCTGGCTTGTGCATCTAGTGCCTCCTGTGAGGTTACTGCTTTCATTACAACATCCTTGACTGTGGACATTGCTCCTGGGCTCTTGAGCATTTCAGCAAAGGTTGGGCCAATTGTAGGGGTCCCTGCCATAGCTACATCTCCTGGCACCTGGGGGTTGGTCCCCTGGGCCAGAGTCTGAGGAGGGCCTGTTTTTAGGCTTTTTATCTCCTCTTGTGCTGCACTTAGTTCTATCTGCAGCTTACATATAGTTTCCCTCAGGTCCTTCAATTCCCCACTGACTTCCTTCCATGCCTTAGCAATCATCTCCATGAATGACTCGTCCAGTCCCTCTCCTCCAGCTTCATTCTGTTGTCTTACCATCCCGCTTGACCTGTGTGTGTGTGTGTGTGTGTGTGTGTGTGTGGTGTGTGTGTGTGTGTGTGTGTGTGTGTGTGTGTGTGTGTGTGTGTGTGTGTCTGTGTGTGTGTCTGTATGTGCGTGTGTGTGTGCGTGTGTGTGTGTCCGTGTGTGTCTTTGTGTGCGTGCGTGTGCGTGTGTGCGTGTGCGTGTGCGTGTGTGTGCGTGTGCGTGTGTGCGTGTGCGTGTGCGTGTGCGTGTGTGTGTGTGTGTGTGTGTGTGTTGGGTGCGGGGGTGTTTGTGTATAGGGGGAGGGGTAGGGGGGTGTCTTGGGGCAGTGTAAGGCGTGGGAAGGTGTGGGGTGAGATGGTGAGCAGTCACCAGGGTATCATGTGTCAAGCCCCACCCAAGTACCACCCAAGTGAGCCACGGAGTTGTATATTTGAGATATTGAGACCTACTTTAAATTAGGTATTTTAAGTCACTCTGTACACCTTATTGATGACCTAGAGAGGGGTACCTACCGTCAGCTCACCCCGAGCAAGCACGCCTAGGTGAGTTTGAAGAGATGTCCTTATGACGGGGTTGGTCGCTTGCCCTCTCCTCTCTCTGGTATCAATGTTGTCTCCACGTGCTACTGTTGTCTCCACGTGCTCCTGGTAACATTCGTTCCTATCTTCCTCACTGGTCGTCAGCCCTATGTGCACTTAGCATACGATCCTAAACGGTGCACACACTTCGGGGGATCAATCACTAAGTATGCTACAAACCGCTTCACAACACATTACTCAGCAAAACAAAACGTAGGTCCTGCTAGGCTGGGTGGCTAGGCTGACCCAACGGTACACACTGATCTTGCCACTCGGCCTTATTTTTGTTTCTTAATTGCTCTACCGCTGTAGGAGCTCACTATACACTTGATCACAGCGTTTGCGTACACTTCTGTGACAAAAAACTATGTTTCTTGTCTCGGTGACCCTTCACTGTCTCGAGATAATTGATGTTATTCGCGGACCCTACGGAAACAACGTGTGACTCTCTCCAGAGCTGAAATGGTGTGTGGGTGTGTGTGTGTGTGTGTGTGTGTGTGTGTGTGTGTGTGTGTGTGTGTGTGTGTGTGTGTGTGTGTGTGTGTGTGTGTGTGTGTGTGTGTGTGTGTGTGTGTGTGTGTGTGTGTGTGTGTGTGTGTGTGTGTGTGTGTAGTTGAATATGAGCGAAAAGGTAAGATTAATGATTTTAAAACTTATCTTCTCAATATTTATTATGTTTTTCTTATGTTGTGTCAGAGTCAACAGTTAGTGAGACAGTGACAACAGTGTGACAGTAACAATAGTTAGAGTGACAGTGACAACAGTGTGACAGTTACAATAGTTAGAGTGACAGTGACAACAGTTAGTGTGACAGTGACCACAGTTAGTGTGACAGAGGCAACGGTCAGTGTGACAGTGACAACAGTTGGTATGACAGTGACAACAGTTTGTGTGACAGAGGCAACAGTTGGTGTGACAGAGGCAACAGTTAGTGTGACAGTGACAACAGTTGGTGTGATAGTGACAAAGTTAGAGTAACAGTGACAACAGTTAGTGTGACACTGACAACAGTTAGTGTGACAGAGGCAACAGTTGGTGTGACAGAGGCAACAGTTAGTGTGACAGTGACAACAGTTGGTGCGACAGTGACAACAGTTGGTGTGACAGTGACAACAGTTAGTGTGACAGTGACAACAGTTAGTGTGACAGTGACAACTGTTGGTGTGACAGTGACAACAGTCAGTATGACAGTGACAACAGTTGGTGCGACAGTGACAACAGTTGGTGTGACAGTGACAACAGTTAGTGTGACAGTGACAACAGTTAGTGTGACAGTGACAACAGTTGGTATGACAGTGACAACAGTTGGTGTGACAGTGACAACAGTTGGTGTGACAGAGACAACAGTTAGTGTGACAGTGACAAAAGTTAGTGTGACAGTGACAACAGTTAGTGTGACAGAGGCAACAGTTGGTGTGACAGAGGCAACAGTTAGTGTGACAGTGACAACAGTTAGTGTGACAGTGACAACTGTTGGTGTGACAGTGACAACAATCAGTATGACAGTGATAACAGTTAGTGTAATAGTGACAACGGTTAGTGTGACAGTGACAACAGTTAGTGTGACAGTGACAACAGTCAGTATGACAGTGATAACAGTTAGTGTGACAGTGACAACAGTTAGTGTGACAGTGACAACAGTCAGTATGACAGTGACAACAGTTAGTGTGACAGTTATAACAGTTAGTGTAATAGTGACAACAGTTAGTGTTGCAGTGACAACAGTTAGTGTGACAGTGACAACAGTCAGTATGACAGTGATAACAGTTAGTGTGACAGTGACAACAGTTAGTGTGACAGTGACAACAGTCAGTATGACAGTGATAACAGTTAGTGTGATAGTGACAACAGTTAGTGTGACAGTGACAACAGTCAGTATGACAGTGATAACAGTTAGTGTGATAGTGACAACAGTTAGTGTGACAGTGATAACAGTTGGTGTGACAGTGACAACAGTTAGTGTGACAGTGACAACAGTTAGTGTGACAGTGACAACAGTTAGTGTGACAGTGACAACAGTTAGTGTGACAGTGACAACAGTTAGTGTGACAGTGACAACAGTTAGTGTGACAGTGACAACAGTCAGTATGACAGTGATAACAGTTAGTGTGATAGTGACAACAGTTAGTGTGACAGTGACAACAGTTAGTGTGACAGTGACAACAGTCAGTATGACAGTGATAACAGTTAGTGTAATAGTGACAACGGTTAGTGTGACAGTGACAACAGTTGGTGTGACAGTGATAACAGTTAGTGTGATAGTGACAACAGTCAGTATGACAGTGATAACAGTTAGTGTAATAGTGACAACAGTTAGTGTGACAGTGACAACAGTTAGTGTGACAGTGACAACAGTCAGTATGACAGTGATAACAGTTAGTGTGACAGTGACAACAGTTAGTGTGACAGTGACAACAGTCAGTATGACAGTGACAACAGTTACTGTGACAGTTATAACAGTTAGTGTAATAGTGACAACAGTTAGTGTGGCAGTGACAACAGTTAGTGTGACAGTGACAACAGTCAGTATGGCAGTGATAACAGTTAGTGTGACAGTGACAACAGTTAGTGTGACAGTGACAACAGTCAGTATGACAGTGATAACAGTTAGTGTGATAGTGACAACAGTTAGTGTGACAGTGACAACAGTCAGTATGACAGTGATAACAGTTAGTGTGATAGGGACAACAGTTAGTGTGACAGTGATAACAGTTGGTGTGACAGTGACAACAGTTAGTGTGACAGTGACAACAGTTAGTGTGACAGTGACAACAGTTAGTGTGACAGTGACAACAGTTAGTGTGACAGTGACAACAGTTAGTGTGACAGTGACAACAGTCAGTATGACAGTGATAACAGTTAGTGTGATAGTGACAACAGTTAGTGTGACAGTGACAACAGTCAGTATGACAGTGATAACAGTCAGTATGATAGTGATAAAAGTTAGTGTGACAGTGTTAACAGTTAGTGTGACAGTGACAACAGTTAGTGTGACAGTGACAACAGTTAGTGTGACAGTGACAACAGTTAGTGTGACAGTGACAACTGTTGGTGTGACAGTGACAACAGTTAGTGTGACAGTGACAACAGTTAGTGTGACAGTGACAACAGTTAGTGTGACAGTGACAACAGTTGGTGTGACAGTGACAACAGTTAGTGTGACAGTGACAACAGTTAGTGTGACAGTGACAACAGTTAGTGTGACAGTGACAACAGTTAGTGTGACAGTGACAACAGTTAGTGTGACAGTGACAACAGTTAGTGTGACAGTGACAACTGTTGGTGCATGTTAATGTATGTGACGTCTAGATGCTCGTCAATAAAGTATTTACGTTACTGTAGCTCTGGAGATGACCAATATTGCTGCCTATCCTGCTGTGTGGTAGTACTTATAGACCTGATGAGGACCATCGTACCGATGTACAAGACAATTTGAAATTTGAAATCTTAAGTATTCAATTGGACAAACCGGGAAACTATTTTTTTACTTGTGTTGCGTTGACAAGCTAAATGAATCTAACCTAATTTTTCTAGGCCTAATACACGATATCTGAGGCCTAACATAGTACAGTATACTACTATCTCAAAGCTAAGTACGTACGAATTTGTGACTATTGACGATGGAACTATCTAAACAGGAGGATGAATTGAATATTTAAAGTTGCAATGCCCTAACATATGACATATCAGTTAGACATTTTTTTTTTTGATGGGGGGTACACGGACTCAATGTTGTCTTTCTGAGAAGGAGGTGTGTTCTTTGTGGGAACGGAGTTGTGAACTCATGAAAGGAGCGGCTCTCATTTTACAACGAGATGCTTATGAGAAAGATATTATGTCTTTGTGAGAGTCAGTGCTGTTTTTTCTCCAGGGGAAGGAGTGCTGGGTTTTGGGGGAGATTATTTTTTGGGAAGGATACTGTTTTCTGAGAAAGTTGTTATCTCTATGGGAGGGAGTGTTGCTTTTTTTTTTAAATAGGTACTAACTTTATGAAAGGGGTGATCTCATTGTAAGACAGGGTGCCCTTTTGTGACACGGGTGCTGTTATTGTTACCAGAGAAACTGTTGTCCTCGTGAGGAGGGATGCTGTATTTTTAGAGACGTATTTTTTTAATGAAATGGGTTCTGTCACTGAGAGAATAGAACAGATTTTATGAGATAGTTGTCTTTGTGAAAGTTGTGGAAGGAAATTCTGATAAATTTACCTCCATTATCAGCTTACATTAAAGTTGACCCGTTTCAGTTACAGATAAATTACAGATACACTTTTCTCAAATTTCCATACCCCTACCTCTCACATGTCATCATCCAGTATACACTAAACATCCCGTATACAGTAAACATTTAGTGTACACTAAACATCCAGTATACACTAAACATCCAGTGTACACTAAACATCCAGCATACACTAAACATCCAATATACACTAAACATCCAGTATACACTAAACATCCTGTATATACTAAACCTCCAGCATACACTAAACATCCAGTATATACTAAACCTCCAGTATACACTAAACATCCAGCATACACTAAACATCCAGTATACACTAAACATCCAGTATACACTAAACATCCAGTATACACTAAACATCCAGTATACACTAAACATCCAGTATATACTAAACCTCCAGTATACACTAAACATCCAGTATACACTAAACATCCAGTATACACTAAACCTCCAGTATACACTAAACATCCAGCATACACTAAACATCCAGTATACACTAAACATCCAGTATACACTAAACATCCAGTATACACTAAACATCCAGTATACACTAAACATCCAGCATACACTAAACATCCAGCATACACTAAACATCCAGTATACACTAAACATCCAGTATACACTAAACTTCCAGTATATACTAAACCTCCAGCATACACTAAACATCCAGTATACACTAAACTTCCAGTATACAATAAACATCCTGTATACACGAAACATCCAGTATATACTAAACATCCAGTATACACTAAACATCCAGTATGCACTAAACATCCTGTATATACTAAACATCCAGTATACACTAAACATCCAGTATACACTAAACATCATGTATATACTAAACATCCAGTATACACTAAACATCCAGTATACACTAAACATCCAGTATACACTAAACATCATGTATATACTAAACATCCAGTATACACTAAACTTCCAGTATACACTAAACCGGACCGTAAATATAGAACGGGCTTGGCTAACGGGTTCCAAGAATTTTATTGCCAACACATTGATACCAAAATGAAATACGTAGCTCGAGAATTGGTGTGAGGAGAGTGAAAAGATTACACACTTCTTGGTGTTTACGCTCAAGAGCCCAAAATGCTGCGCGCACAATGCGCTATTTTTTTCACGGGACGCGCGCGCATTAAAGTGTTAATTAATATGATTTAGGTATGAAAGATTAAATATAAAAATTACTGAAAAATGGGGCATTGCCCCATTACCTAACGACTCACATTTTATATAAGGACATATTAAGTTTGCAAAGCATGCAATTGGCCAATCTGTACTATAATAAACACAATAATATACCCAAACATTGAGAATCGAAGTCTAATCTGACAAGTTGCCAGTAAGTAAGTTTAATGACAAGTTTACAAACTGACAAGTTTAATGTAAGCGATTAAGAGTAGTTTGTGCCTTATTGTCCGTTGAAAATGTTCTCAAACATAGCACACATGTACACAGTTTCGATGTACACAATGGTCTCCAGTCGGGAACTTGTCGCTCCAGCCACCGCTATCATGTCCCTGGAGGTGGGTGACTGGTCATGATATATATATCATTTATTTCTGGTCCACACGATTAAATATAGATACAGTGGGAATGTAAGGTAAATATATAGTGGATGTATTAAACATTGGTGATATTTTTAGTACAAATCAATTTCCTCTAACAGATTTTAATTAACCATTACCAGAAATCGTTTGATGTTCCAACAGTATTTTGAATAAATATGTTCTTCTCGAACCTCCTAGATCCTTGAGAACGCATGCACAAGGTCAAGTAAGCATTCATAGCCAATGGCGGATGTTACCATTAAGGCATTGTCATGTAGGAACCAGTTGCATGATTTTCATAGATGTATGATCTATTAGATCAGTAGATGTAAGATTTGATAGATTCTGATATGATGTAGCTGATGTATGATATAGATTATGTTATGATTTAGTAGATATTACATTTCTTGGATAATAACACATATATAGTGGGTGGAATTTTCCACATCTTCCAGAGGGAGAAAATGGGCACAGAGTTCAATATTTAAGATCAGCAGTGACCAAATGTTCATTTACTCTCCATCAGACTGGTAATACAAACAAATTTTGTTTGCACTTTAATGCAACTGTCTGTTGTGGACGTATGTTCGTGTTTGGTGTCTGTAGGTCATTTGCAGTTAGAGGTTCTTCGGGTCACCCTGGATCCAACTAAACCATTGACTCCATATGGATTAGTTTGTCCAATGGATCCATCTGCAGTGACACAGATCCAGCATGGAAGAACTGCAGGGTGGAAACATATTTCCCATAGACATGCTTCCCATAAGCTACTAAGTTAGCACTGTTATTTGAAATCATCAGCTTAGGGCATGTTTAGCATGCTGCATGTCTGCAGAAAACCTTGATAAATGATTGGGCAGTTATATTGGGTGTTACCTTTGGATGTACTGCTCTGGTAGTAGCACAGGTGAACAGACAGATGAATGCCTTAATAGTTCGTTTATATGCAGTTCCTATTAGATAGATGGCTCTTGTATAATCTACTCCTGACGTCTTGAAAGGATGTGGATGAACCACTCACTCCCTTGGCAGAGGTGGTGACCAAGGACATGGGCAAGTTCTTGCATCCTACCTTCGGTATATCATGCACTTTTTCAAGATTGATTTGGCTGACTGTCTTCCTTGAGGAATACTGCTGCTGTCTGAGATGTATGAATGAAGTACTACTGTCTGAGATGCATGAATGAAGTACTACTGTCTGAGATGTATGAATGTGTCTAACACTCCTCCAAGTTTGATGATTTGTTGATGTGTATGTAACACATCAAACACACCTTGTGATTGAATGCTTCTTTGGCAAAAGCCATGGGTGCATAGTATCTAGACTGATATCTGCATGTTTGGGTCTTCCTTCACAACGTAGAATGTTATGATTATCTTGGTCTATCCTCACACCGTGATTGAGCGTTAACTTATGAGGAAGATTTTCGTAGGCATTCCTATAAGTTTCTCCTGGGTTTGTCTTACTCAATAGATAAGTGGTCCTGAAAAAAATGTATTTTATGCCCCTTTCATGGGATAATGAAACACGTTTTGTGTTACAATTATTAATTTGGTAAACAAGGAACGATGAGTACAATCTAAGACTGATGTTTGAGCTTGCTGCCTGGTGGTAGTTATGGATTTCGTCATGATGATATGTGGCTTTTATTCCGGCCAACTACCATTCAATAACCATCGAGGCCATAGAAACCAAATATCTTCCTTCGTAAACTGTTTAAACGTCATTCCTCTTGATAGCAGATCATCTGGATTATCATTAGTTGGTGCATGCAACAATTGAAAGCCTGCAGAAAATTTCCTAATTTCCGAAACACGATTTCTTACATACAGTATTTGACTGCTGTCATTCCATACCCTTTGTAAGACAGCTTCATTGCCAGACCATATAATAACATCAGTGAGATTCATTGTACAAATGATTTCTTTGATTTGCACTTCTAAGTGTGTCCCTATAAGCAATGCGTTTAGTTCCATCTGAGGCAAAGTCCTCTTCTTCATTGGAGCGACTCTGGCCTTAGATATGTAATCACCGACTTTGATGATTACATATGACTGATTGGAAGTCACTAAGTAAGCACTGGCTCCAGAAGCTCTGTCTTACGAGTCTGCGAATACATGTTTTGTTACTTCACCATTTTCCTCGATTATGTGTATTGGAAAGATTATCTGTTCGACTAAAGTTTGTTCAGGAGCCATTTCCATCCACGCCTTTTGAAACTGGGATGGTAGTGGATCAACCCAGCTAACTTTTGTCTTCTAAATTCTTGCACCAATAAACGGCATCTAATTGTTAAAGGGTTTAATAGACGAAGTGGGTCAAATACTTTACTGACCAATGAAATTAAGTTCTTTTTTGTAGTAATGCAATAGTTTACTGGTTCTGATTTGATTAATAAGGTATGAGATGTGAGATCCCATTCCATACCCAATACCTTTTGAGATTGAAGTACAAGATATTGATCCGGTCTCGATTTGATTATTCAATGATGCATTATTTGAGGCTGATCACTGTAGTGGCATGTTGGCACCTTGTAGTTCCTTCTTGGCCTTTTTGATATTGTTGTAACAGTTCAATTGTACTATTAACTGTCCCTTGAAAATTATATATGTATAGATTTTGACTGATTTCAGCATTATAGAGACTGGATGACTTTTGTAGACGAGTATCTAGAGTTGTCTGTAGCACGAATGGACTGGATGTTGCTCCGAATAGGATAGAAGAGAATCTGTAAGTCACAATTGGACTCTTTAGATCTTTTGGGTTCGCTACCCAAAAAACTTAGTGAAGTCTATATCTTCTTCCTGTAAGCCAACTCTTAGAAAAGATTTGTTTATGTCAGCTGTATATGCATATTTTTTAGGTCAAAACTTCAGCAGTATATCATACAATATCTGTGTTAGACTAGGGCCTGTTTGCAGGCAATCATTTAGACTGGGCCTGGGGCCCAGATTTAGAGCAACAATTAAAAACTATCTGTAAAAGAGTTTTTTTCTGATTATGCCCATATGTGGTAAAAAATGGTCCCTTTGCTTATTGTCATGTTTCACAATTTTGATAAGTTGATTTTGTAGCTGTTGAGCAATAATCACATGGTTGAGTTGTAAATGCTCTGGCTTTTTAATTAGCTTTGCTGACATTGATGTAAATTGACTATAAGCTAACCTATAGGTGGTTGGTAAGGTTTTATTGTTAAGTTTCCAAGATAATCTTACCCAATATGGCCCATCAGATACTGTACAGTTTCAAGGTATTGATTGTAGGTACAAATATCATCTGGGTTTGGTTGTTCGTAATTATTCCTATTGCATCAAGTTCCCACAATTATGTATGGATTCTAATCCATCATCAATTATGTGGGGGATTGTAAATGGTGACTGTTCCCTGCCCAGTCAGGCTACCATTACTGTTTCTTCAAGGTGTGATTTTTCAAAGTTGAAGGTTCCAGATCTTATACAGGTCCTAACATCAATAAGCTTCCTGTTGATTGGAGTAATTTCAAACCTATGCATTTCTCTGATCTCAAAATGAATAGGTAAAAGTAGCCAGCTCCTATCAGAATTCTGATATACCTTATGTAGTCGGAATCGATCATGGGATCTGCTAATTTAATTCCTTTTTCTGTTAGGAATTTTGTGGTGGCTCTGAGACCAGTAACTTTTAGCTCTGTAGGAACTTTGTCCACCAATATAGCTATGACTGTATTTTGATATGTACCTAGAAAGACATTAAGCTTTACCCTCTTTATTGGATTGAGGACCCGAATTCGTAAAAAAAACTGATGTTATTATAGATACTTCATTTGAAGATTTCGGTTGTAAAGTTTCTGCTACCAACCGTCCGTCAAGTGCTCCATCTCCTGCAACACTTCCTGCCGCGTCCGGCTGGCCGAAATGTTGCCAGATACAGCCAGTTGTTGTTCGCGCTCTATTTAACCCTTAGGAAAACTTCCGGCCAGATCTCATACTTTGTTAAGAGCTTGATGGCCGAGTACGCTGTTTTCGGATTTGTGTATGTGACAAAAGCATACTCTCGAGTAGTTACGGTAAAATCCACGAGGAGTCGAAGCTGATAGACAGCGCTGGCCTGCTCCAGCACCGGCAGGAGCTGGTCCTCGTACAGGTCATGGGCAGACACCCCACACACACCTCACTGCCGAGCACGGGCACTGTTAAGGGGGCTTATCACACTAAATTAAAAGTTGTTCAATTTGCTTATAATTTTTTTTATGAAAGGGTTATAGAAAGGGCTGCAACTGGTCCAAGTTTCACCATCACACCCTAAACAGAAAAGGAGAAAAAAAATACACAACGTATTATGCAACGAATGTTCAACATTCTCAAATAATCTCAGGAAACACATGTGTCAACTAAAATGTTTACTATGTGCTGTAGAAGCACAAACTCTTGTAATAATTGTAATATGTATGTGCAATATATTTATATGTAAATTTTTTTTTTTCTTTTTTTTTTTCTTTTTTTTTGGCCAATTTTTTTTTCTCGTTTGTTATCAAGGGATTTGCATGAAACTTGCACACCTTGCTCAATGGATGCCTATCTGCAAGGGTGTCAATTATGAACGAAATCTGTCGAAGTCAAGCTCAGCTACAGGTGGCCGAACTTGGATCTTTATTTTACTCTGGAAAGTAATTTACAACTTCAAGGCGTTTCTCAGCTTTCATTTATTAATCAATTTACATGCAAATTACACCTTATATGTAGAGTTTGTGCTTCTACAAACCTATTGAGACATTTTAGTCCAAAGTCCATTTGTTGATTTTATAAAAATTTATAAACATCATATATTGCATATTTTTGGAAGGGTAACTTTGAAAAATTATATTATTGCACTAAACACTTTCTTTGATAAAACTGATCAATACAATCTATTATTATGTGTTAGTTTAATATCTGAGTGTTATAGAAATGATTTTAGTTGACACATGTGTTCCCTGAAATTATTTGAAAATGTTGAAAATTCTTTGCATAATACGTTGTGTATTTTTTTTCTCTTTTTCTGTCTAGGGTGTGATGCTGAAACTTGGACCAGTTGCAGCTGTTTCTATAACCATTTCATAAATAAATTTATAAGCAAATTGAAAATTTTTTACGAAACCCGTAATATGCCAACCTTAAAATACTATGCCCAAGTTTACCATCCGAGTGCCGGCGGTGGGGTGGTTCAAATAACTTCGGCTATCACTTTCTTATGTCCAGTCGTGATGGTCGAGTGGATTAAGGTGTCCTGTACACACCAGTTGCCTTGCTCCTGGCCGTATGGGTTCGAGTCACTTCTGGGGTGTGAGTTTTCTGTTGCATATAGTCCTGGGGACCATTCAGGCTTGTTCGCATTTGTGTTCCTCATGTGTGCCCCAAAGAATGAGGTGATTTGATAAAATACTATGCCCAAGATTACCATCCGAGTGCCCGCGGTGAGGTGGTTCAAATAGCTTCGGCTGTCACCTCATTACGTCCGGTCGTGATGGTCGAGTGGATTAAGGTGTCCTGTACACTCCACTTGCGTTGCTCCTGGCAGTATGGGTTCGAGTCACTTCTGGGGTGTGAGTTTTCTGTTGCATATAGTCCTGGGGACCATTCAGGCTTGTTCGCAATTGTGTTCCTCATGTGTGCCCCAAAGAATGAGGTGATTTATATATATATATATATATATATATATATATATATATATATATATATATATATATATATATATATATATATATATATATATATATATATATATATATATATATATATATATAATAGTATATATATATAA